ATAGTAAGTAGGATGCTGTTAATTAGCATTTCAGTACGAAATCTTGTTCGATTATGCGTGACGAAATTTAGGTTAATGACCAAAGCAATGCCAATAAAGGTGCAACACCCGGCACTCACGCTATGACTGCGCTTGAAAATTCTGCTGTCGCAATTGCAGACAAACTGCGTGTGGTGGGTGTTTGCTTGGTTTACCTACGTCTGCTACGTTTGGAGTCCATTCCTCTTCAAGGTTGATGATTATCAAACACATCACCGTCTTCGCGAAGCCACTGGACGAAAGCGTGCCGAACAGTTGAATGAACGCGTTCTGTTGTGGAGTTTAGGACAGACAGCTCTTATAGTCCTTATTGGAATTGCTCAGGTACGGGATATTTCCGTTGAATGCGTAACACCATCAGATGTCTTATGAGATCGTTTCTCTCTCAAATTTTGCGAAATAGTGTACTTTTCGGGGGGGGGGAGTGGCATAGCGGCAAGTGGCTCCACGTAACGCGAATGGTCTGGCGGCTAGATCCCGGCTTGAATCCGCCTTGAACAACCTTTCCTTCTATCCCTTCTGGGGTCATTAAGCTGATAGTAACTTCGTTCATGAGAAAACGCTGGCTAATAGCTTGGCTAGCTTTTCCAGTTCCATTGTTCTTGGGCCAAATGGAATTCGAAGTCCATTGTGGGTTTTTTTGTGAGTAAAATGCGTGGCTTATCTAAAAGACATTGAGGGTCGCATCTTGTAAGGTGGTGTGTGTATGTGGTGCGACAGTTCGTAATGCCTGAAGAAATGCTACTTTTTGCGAGGGAAGAATTGTTGGATGGGTGCCAAAGCGAAAACGAAATGGTTTACGCATGCCAGGGCTTTCCTCCCTGCAAAAGTTGGAAATCTCTGTAGGTGGCTGCCAGCATTCATGCGGAAATAAACGGGCGAAGAAGGATCTGTTGTCGGAGCGTCAGTTTTTCCCTCATTCTCATCCTGCGCCACGGTAACCACTCTAGTTTATTTCTGAAGCTGCCTTTATGATCGGTACTCGTCCCCTAATTAATCGCTGTAGTTTAGTGACCTGAAATCCATGAAGTTTCTTTTCAGGTGATTTTGCTGCGATCGTTCTTTTCGGACAAGCGAACGAGGTATTAGGGTAGAGTACTCGAATGTCAATAGCGCCTTCAGTCCTCTTTCCGCAAATATTTTGTGTTATTTATTTCTCAGTGCATGTGATGACGTTTTCCCCTTTTCTCTGTACTGCATCAATAGTGTTCTAGATATCTACATAAATGTAGAAGCGTGAAATGTATGCATAACAGCTCGATCATGCGGTCATTTCATCTTGCTTTTTTGTACTTGGGACGGTGTTATTCCACCTGATATTTAATGCTGCACGTTCTTCTTGTTAAATATTCGTATAAATTTTTATGTATTTCGTGTATTCTTGAGCAGTCTTTTTTGTCGTGATAACTTTATACTTTTGATCGTTGCGCGTTATTCAAGAATCCACTTTGTATCTTGTGCTGATTAATTTCCAGTAACTAAAAGGCATAGTCCAGACTTCGCGCCGATATTGAATCAGTGAATATGAGAAACGCGCATTCCGTATGCTTGGTATTAACATCAAACTCACCATGTGTTGCGCCTTCGATATCGTCAATATCCAGCTGTAATTAATTTTTCAGTATGAAGCAGTTGTAGTGGCCGACCAAGATCGGCAAGGCCCACCCAGCACATTGTGAGCATTGGTATTGGAACCATAGACTGCGGAGCGTGCCTTTTGGGGTTCAGAGATTCGCAAATTCGGCGCGAAGTCTGAATACTGCCATAATTGTTGAGTAGGCATGTGACTTTGCTCCAATTAGCATATGCTGAATTGCTTCGGACACGATAGTAGTGGAATTTTTGGTCTCCATAATGTAACCACAATAAATTTTACGGTTAGTTTATTTGAGCTGTCGGTGTGGTACTATCAAAGGCCAGGAAGGTCAACACCTTATTTTGATAAAATTTCAGAGGTCTTTTCCAGATTTAAATTCTCCTCCAAACTATTGATATGGCTTCTCGAAGTAAGCATACCTTTCTGCGTTTCTGCTGGGACCGTATGCTGAATGTTGGGGAGGGGATGGGGTCCCCGACGGTCGACGGACCACTTCAACTCGGTCCTTAGAACCGCCACAATTTGGTGCTTACCTCAGAACTAAGCCTTAAAGAGAGAGGACGGGTCCGTCCCCTCTCCAAGGCTTAGTCCTGGGGTGAGCAAACCAGCCCTTCTGGCGGAGCTGCTGGACCTAGCTGCACCAGCGTCATCACTCTCCTACCGTACCGACCCTCTCCAACATTCAGCATACGGCCCCAGCAGAAACGCCAAAAGGACTGGTTTGCTTACCTCATGGCCTCTCTTAAAGTGAAATCGATCTCTCTTCTACGTCTACGTCAGGTAATCGCAAAGCACTTTTTTGAGAACTAAAATTATCTGTGGCCGGGTGCTTTGTATCTGCTCTCGCGATAAAAATTACGCTTGAGTGGCGTCTGACGTCACAAAGGTTGATTGCCGAGATCGTTAAAATGGTTACGAATTAAAACGCTCACCACAGCGTGACATCATGAGAGTTTTTTGCTGAAATCAGGCGAAAGGTATGGTTTTCTGAAGACTCAAAGATCAAATAAACACATAAATCCAGAGAATGCAGGAGTACTGCAGCAATTCTAGCAGATAATAATTTTCAGCACTACTATTAATTTGCGGTTGTGCTGAACTTCAGCATCAGGACGATACTGTGTTTGTTATTGTTGAAAATGACGTGAAAATTGTTGACTGGGAAGTGCATGTTTCTGAAGGCTCAAAGATTAAACAAACACATTAAGATCGTCAGACGTAAACTCATATTCTTGTCTTCCCCATGTCCTAACGATTTAATGGAGGGCATGACGAGAGTGCTAAGGAGAGGAGGGCAAGCGGTGGCTGGGGTGTGTTCGTTTGCGCCCTCATCGTACTGAAAGAACGGAAGCAAACCGCTGATGAGCTGAAAAGCATTTCCATTCTCCTTTTCTCGAAATCGAAGGGGCGGGGCCGGACGAGTTGTAGAAACTCGGTTGCTCCCCGTTTCACAGGCCCGCACGATACTCGACTAGTCGCAGGGCGACTCCACATACGTGTTTATGGGGTGTGCACGATTGTATTCACGTCGGTATGTTCACAGTGTCGCCATTAGATACTTATGTAAGGCCTAGCTCCTGTGCACTTCGCCGTACTAATTTTTCCCGGGGACCAAAACATTCTTGGCGGCCACGCTAACGCCTGTTAGAGTAATTCTTCGAGAACCGTAGGGGCCATATCAATATCCTTCTCTGGGAGAGCGATCCTCGCCAATGATATCCCTATACTTTGGGGAGACAGGCGTCATTGGACCACCATACTGTGCGTTTCTAGACTCCCGAGCGCAACCCCTCAGAGAAAAGAGTGCTCAACGGGGAGGGTAGCTACAACACCACGCGCTCAATGGCGGGTCCTATGACGCAACCTTGTCTCCCCCATTGTAGGATAGTATCAGCGGCAGGGACATGTTTCTTTGAAGAAGGAGTAGTATACGGCCCCTTTTCTGGGTTATTGTTTTGAAGGGGCGTTATCATCGCCGCCGTAACGCAGTTTCAAAATTACAACGCCACTGCAGACTAAGCCCGAGAGACGCAGACGAACAATTGCACCGGCACATGCTGCTGTGCCACGATCGGAGGTATACACCGAGATGCTCGCCTCTTTGAAAAAATTTCCCGCGCGCGCACGTTCAAATATACGTAGCACTGGAGCGAGCATTCAACTAGCTAGAGTGATTGGAGACACTACAATTTCGTGCCTTTTCCCATATTTTGAGTTTGCTCTCCGCACTGGTACCACCGCAGGCAAGAGTATAGATATTCTAGCAGGAGAGCAGGAATGATTACTAGGGGATGCGGTCGTCTCGCACGAGAGTACTGGTAGGAAGCGTCTTTGATAGCAAGGTAATGAATTGGAAGCATTTCCTACCTCTTGTAGCACTGAATTGGTATTTTGCAAGACATTTTGAAGAAAATGATATCAGTAGGTTGACGCTAATCTTCGTTAAGTCCACAACGAAGGCAACTCAGAGCGATTTATCGGGGATTTTTTCACTGCAACTGCTTGGATTTTGTGCTTCCATCCAGTAAGTCGTGAGAGCAAAGCCCATCACCCTTTCAAATATCTACAGCGGTGTTTTCAAAAACTGTTCACCAGTCAGTGACCTCAGCAAAAGTAATAATACATACCTGAAACGAAAAAGCGAGGAATCATAGGAACAGTTGTGATGAACTTTCCAACATAATTTTTTGACGTAAACTGCATTACGGGAAATAAGTGGACGCACTTGACTGCCAGAGCTACTTGACTACTAATTAGTGTCTACAGGTGAAAATCAGAAGGTTGCCTTAAATTTTCACCGAACGAAGAATTGCCGATATTCATGGGTTTCAGCAATGTGCTCTCAGGAGACGGCAATATGTTGAGTGCGCAAATCGTTTTGAATACAGTGACTTATTAGTAGGAGCTCAGTCACAGCCCCCTTAAAGGCAGAGCAATATCACCAGTTTGCCTAGAATATAAGAGATGTAGTACTCATCCTCAGTGGGCTTGGTGGGCGAGAACGGCAGCATGCGCACACTGCATTAGGGTTATGGAAACGCTCAGTTTTAGGACTGAGCCTCAAAGGAGAAGAGTGGTTCCGAAGTGCGTGAGCAACCTTTCTCTCAAAATCGTCTCCCTCCGTAGCTCAGTTCCAGAAAACCTCCTACAGACTGCACTCTCCCCCGTCCTCCCCCGTTTTGTAGTTACAAAAGAGCATTACCTAACGAAGAAGACAAACGCTGACTCTTAAGAAATATCCTTTTGGGGAAGATAATCCTTCATTGTGAACCACATCTACCTCTACCAGTCGCATTCCTTCAGGATTTCCGTAGTGACTCTAACACCAGTATAGCTGGGAGAAAGCTCGCCCCAGTGCGACATCTGTTTAAACGAGCGCGCGCGGGAAGTTTTTTCAAAGAGGCGAGCATCTCGGCGTATACCTCCGATCGTGCAGGGGGGGTCGCGTCACAGGACCAGCCATACTCTGCGTTCTAGACTCCAGACAGCGCGACCCCTCAGAGAAAAGAGTGCCTCAACGGGGAGGGTAGCTACAACATCACGCGTTCAATGGCGGGTCCTATGACGCAACCCTGTCTCCCCAGTTTAGGATAGAATCAGCGGCAGGGGACGCGTTTCTTTGGAGGAGTAGTATACGGCCCCTTTTCTGGGTTGTTGTTTTGAAGGGGCGTTATCATCGCCGCCGTAACGCAGTTTCAAAATACAACGCCACTGCAGACTCAGCCCTGGAGACGCAGATGAACAAATCGCCGCACTGCGCGTGCCCCCCTCAACTACGTTAGCACCGTGCATTGTACGTGACAATGCGCGGAATGTGCTGCTGTAGACGTGACAATGCGTCCAGTGCGTACTTTACGTGATTACGTATAACACACCAGTGAGTCACGCTCCAATGCAGCTGACTTCTTCACGTGTTCGTCACATTCTCCGATGCCGGCTTCTATTGATTGGGCGGCTTCGCTGATTCACAAATTCCTGTTGATTCAGAATCCTATTTCACAACTTCCTCGTAAGATGATTCTCTATGCCTCATTTCTTTCACACTATTTGAATATTTCGGGTTTAGAAACAAAGGTAACAGTTTTCAAAATGCCTAATCTGTTTGGTGCCGAATTGTTTCTGAGAAGGAACCTTACTTTCCCATTATTACTTGTTTCGTTCACACAATATTCTTTTTTTGTAGTTGACTACTTACTATTGAATGACAATATCAACATTGGTTATCTGCAGATATGAGATTAGATGGATTTTACACTTTGTTTCCATATGTGGCACAAATATATTCGTCAGCTCAGTTGGTTGAACAAAGCGGGTTTCTTTTCTGTCTTTGTCATCGCCACAAGCTTTTCAATTTTCGCTGCTCAGTGCTTGATTCGTCGCTTTCCTGCTTTTGCTCACATATTTCCTCTGTCCTTCGTCTTCTTCCTAGTGTCAGTTGCGCA